ATTTACAGTTATATAGATTTGACTAGAAATAAAAATAAGGTAAAGAAAAATTCAGATTTTTGATATTGAAATCTTAATTGTTTTGTGGTACGTACGTGGAATTTTCAGAATCTTCTTTTTCCAACGCGTCGGTCTCTCTGCTGTTGCAGATGATTTCGATCTCTTCTTTCTCCGTGTTCTATTGAGGCAACTGTTGTTTCTTCATAGGAGCTTTTTGATATCGTTTGAGAGAGTATCTTTCCAAGTCGTATTGATTCGTGTCCAGTTGTTCCATTGGAGCCTGTCTTGGAAGGTTGACTGGTTGATTTTCTTCTTTTCTTGTTATTTCCTTATTGCTTTTGTCCATAGCTGGTTGATCGAGTTGCCTACAATAGAGTTTCAGGTTGTCCTTGTGGACTCCTTGTGTTTTATTATGACTGTTAGTTATTTGAATTTTATTTCCTTCCACACTAATAACTTTGAATGGGCCATCGTAACTTTTTCTCAGTTTGTGGCCTTACTGTAGATTTTTAACAGCTATCATAACTGAATCATTTTCTTTGATCTCTTTCTCGCTTATTCTGTGTTTCTCGTTGTATTTCATGACGTTAGATGAAGCAGAAATTGTTAAATTTTTTCAAAATAAATTTTTTAATTATTCCATTCTCTATACGATCATCTAGGTTTTCTCTATCAGACGGAGGCAATATTTTGTGATCGAGTGTCATTCGACAATCTTGACCAAAAAGCGTGACATAAGGTGAAATACCTGTGGTTGAGTTGGGTAGAGTGTTGAGCGTGAATGTGATTTTTGGTGAAAAACAAGTCCCAATCACTAAGATCCTTATTTGCGTAGTGTGTTGAACATTCTTCCAATGTTCGATGGTGTCGTTCTACTTGTCTATCCGGATTTTTCTGATTTGGCAGTGTAGGCTCGTGTTTTATACTTTTGATTCCGCACATTTCAGTAAACTGTGCGGACATAAAGTTTGATTCTCCGTCTGTAATTAATCGAGCGGGAGGCCCGAATACATAGACAAGATGTTTAAGAAAACGGTCAATTACTATTTCTGTTGTTATAGCAGGGATGGCAACTGTTATGGCAAACTTAATAGATGCGTCTTGCATAGATAGAATGTACGCATTATTTCTGCTTGAACGGGAAAACGGTCCCATGATGTCTATATGTACGCGTTCAAAAGGTTTGGAAAGAATTTTAAACTGATTTAAAGATTCTACTGTCATTTGGTGAGGATCTTTTTTTCTCTGTGCGCATTTGATACATGGTTTAATATAATTTAATATTTCGTCCTGCATGTTTGTCCATGCGAATGTTCTCAGTATCGCTTTTTTTGTCTTGTGGACTCCGAGATGAGCACATATTGTTGGATCAACTTGAAATTGATCGATGATCTTACTTGTGATCTCATGTTTCCTAGGTATGATTATAGCAGGATGAGGTCTGTTTATGTTAGGTTTGATATAAAGCATATACTCGATTACACAGTAACGATTATTACCGCTTTTATAAGTTTACAACTAGCGAATGCAATGGAATGTAAATTTATGAGTGGTTCGTTAGGGTTTTCAGCTTGGAGTAAGACTGCGCCAATAGCGATATTGCTACCGTCGCTTTCTAGGACACAAGTTTGATTGGGTTTGGGTGGACTAAGGACAGGTGCTTTTATCAGTTAATTTTTTCAATGTTTCAAAAGCCGATTGTTCTTTTTCTGTCCAAGTGAATTCTTGGTCCGTTTTAGTCGAGTCATATAATGGACAGGCGATGTGAGCAAAGTTTTTGATAAACTTACGGAAAAATCCTCTTACTGCTGTTGGAGTTCTCGGGGCTGGGTATTGTTTGATTGCTTCAACTTTAGCTGGGTCTGGTTTTAGTCCATCTCTTCCCACCATAAGGTCAAGAAATATCACTCCGCGAGCGCGAGAACGGTGTTGTTGTTGTCGTTGAAGTTTGCTCCCTGGTATTTGGCAAGCGAAGTGTAGGGGATGGT